ACAGATTTTGGACAAAGCTCGTAATGTATCACTTTTAAATTGGGATCCACGATCACTAATGAGTTTACTTGGCGTTCCGAAAACGCGCAATCCAGTTGCTATAAAAGGTTCTTGCGACGTTCTCAGCGGAAATATTTTCTAAAGGAATTGCTTCCATCCAATTCGAAAATCTATCTATGCAAGTAAGACAATAAATATTCCCTTTAGATGGTGGAAGTGGTCCTATGAGATCGATATGGATGACAGAAAATCTTCCTGGTGATACTTCAAACTCACCTAATTTTGTTTTGGTGTATGCCGACGATTGATTTTAGCTTTTGGCAAAGGAATGCAGGTTCTTGTCCACAACTGTACATCTTTTTTTTTATGTTAGGCCAAATGAATTTTGATGTCATTAATTTCATAGTCGATTTTATTCCTGGATGTGATAAACCATGAATTCGCTGAAAGACGTGTTTTCTGAAAGCCTGAGGAATATACGGCCGAATATGTTTAGTTGATGTATCACACCACAAATATTTCCCCGAAGGTAGAGAACATTGCTTTAAATTCAAGGAAGTAGTGGTTTGCAAACTCTTCAGTTCTTCATCTTGAGTTTGTTCATCAGCTATTTTATCATAATCTATAGGTGCAATTTTCATTAACTCTAGATAATGTATCCGCCACAATATTAGTCTCACCTTTTAACATATTTGATATCAGTCGAAAACCTGGGAGATGTATTGAAGTTGGCGAGCCTTGTCTAGGTGCTGCTTTGTCAAGTTTTTGACGAAAGGCGAATATTAAGGGCTTGTGATCTGTATAAATTGTAAATACTCTTCCTTCTAGATAATGCTTAAAGTGTCTAACTGAAAGATATATGCTTAATAGTTCTCTATCATAGGTGCTATATTTTTGCTGAGTATCACTTAATTTTTAGAAAAAAATACTATTGGCTTCCACGAGGAAGTTTTCATATTGTTGCAACACTGAGCCAATCGCCGTATCTGAAGCATCTGTAAATAACGCCAGAGGTAAGTTCAGAATTGGGAAAAGACAACAGTGCCGTGTTCACCAGGTCATTCTTGCACGTTTCAAACTGTTTTTTTCAGCTTCTTCAGTCCATTCGATTTTACGTTTGTCCCTCTTTTTAGCTCCCTTGAGATACGCATGTAACAATGCTTGATTCTTCGCTGCATCCTTTATATAACGACGATAAAAGTTAAGTATTCCAAGAAAAGTTCTAAGTTCATGAATTGTTTCTGGTCGTTTGTAGTTAGTAATAGCTTGAACTCTTTCTGGCAAAGGACGGGAACCCTTAGGTGTAATTAGGTAGCCTAGAAACTCGATTTGGTGGAACAGCAAATACAGATTTTGAAACATTAATTCTTAACCCAAATGTATGTAATCTTTCGAAAACTAATTTAAGGTGATTTTCGTGGGTACTGGATGCAATGAGTATATCGTCTAAATAGGGAAAAACGAATTCTAATCCTCTAAAGACTTCGTGAATAAATCTTTGGAACGTTGCAGGAGCATTTTTTAAACCGAAACTCATTACATTAAATTCGTATAAACCGAAAGGAGTGATGATAGCCGTTTTACATTTGTCTTCTTCTGCAATGGGAATGTGAAAATAAGCTTTGAATAAATCAATTTTAGAAAAAATATTTGTACCTCTTAAAATATGATGAAAATCTTCAATGCGAGGAATTGGGTATCGATCAGGTATCGTCTGCGCATTTTCAATCGTCGGTAGTCTCCGCAAGGACGATATGAACCATCCTTTTTCGTAACAAGGTGCAAGGGGCTTGACCACTGGGAGTTTTGATGGACGAATTATTCCATTGTCAAGCATAAATTTAAATTCCTCTCTTTAGCTATAGCTAAGCGTTTTGGATCGAGCTGTCGTGCCTTTGAATAAAAACGGGTTGACCAATCAGTCGTAATAAAATGTGTAACACCATGTTTAATTTGTGTAGGAAAAAGGTTAGGTTTAGAAATTTCGGGATATTTCGACAGTAAATCGAAAATTTTTATGGATTTATTTAATGTGGTTACTGAGTAATCACTGGAAATAGCAGCGACATCACACTGGACACACAAAGCTGTGTTACGCCATCAATTAATTTTTTCTTATTTATATCGATAAGCAATTTATATTTGTGAAGAAAGTCAGCTCCTAAAATACCTTTTGTGACATCAGCAATTATGAATGGGAAACTGAAAATCACGACGTAATCCCAAATCAAGAGTTAGCGTTTTTATGCCATAAGTGGAAATATCTGTGCCATTAGCTGCATACAGTTTGTATTCAGTTTTACATTTATTCTGTGAAGTAGCAGGAATTATGCTTACGTCAGCTCCGCTATCAATAAGAAAGTGCAAATTTGATCTTCGGTCACGAACGAATAAACGAAATTTGCGACAATCCTTCATATTTTCTGCAGCAGCGTTTGCCGCTGAACCTACTGCAGATTCGAGTTTTCCTGGTTTTTGGAATCGTTTTTTACCCAAGCACACGGAGGCTGGCATTTCTCTGGAATACATTTTGCTCCAAAACGAAAGTGATAAAAACAAAATTTGCCAGTAGGGTCATATCGTTTACGAGATCGGCTTCGAGATTCGTGAACGTGAATTACGTAAATCCGAGTCCCTCGTCTTGAGCGAATGGTTATTTGATCAATTTTTTGTTCAAGAGAAAGGTAATTCTTTGCAACAAATCATTGGCGGGAACGGAAGAAGCATTAGCATTAAATACTTCTGGTTTCCGACTCACATCACTAATTTTATCTGCCATAGACACTAACTTGGTTACATCTTCATCACTAACTAATAATATATTTTTGATTGAGTCGCCATAAAGTTTTGATTAGATTTTCAGACACATCTGTAGTAGCAACTGATCTCAACTTCTGCAAAAGGTTGGCTTGGTTTCATGTCTCCAAGTTCGATACCAATAATCAAACGTTTATTTAATCCGTACATTTTCACTTTCTTTGAATAAATGTAATAACCTAATTTTAGCATCCGAATATTTTTGTGGCACTATCGTTCGTTACAATGTCCCAAATATTTTCGACGAACTTAGGTTCAAGCTGTGAAAACTAAAAAATAATTAAATTTCGTTTCTTCTGAAACGATATTTCTAAGTTTGAACTGAGCTTCAACTTGAAAAAAAAAAACCATATTTCCGGTTTATCAATCCAAAAAGGAGGTATTTTACACTCACCTTATGAAGCTCCGGTGACTGCATCGTATCTTTCATAGCAGTTTCAGAAGAGTCATTTGTTGACTCACCACGATGTAGCCTTGGCTACTAATGTTTAAAATTAATTTGTGATTAGGAACAGCATGAATTATAAACAAATAGCTAAGTTTATTGCATTTTATTTTCCAGCTATCGAAATGCAACGCTACGAGCAAAGTTTTGAAACCAAAACCTTACAATCATGAATCACAACTAGAACTAGTTGCCATTCAGCATAAAGAAATTTAAATATGAACTACTTATTACCATTCAGCATAAAAGAAATATAAATATGAATATTAACAAAATATTAAAGTTAATTTTATAAAATAATTAAACACATGAACAAATATATGAAATAAAAAATAATTATTTCTCATGCAATAACTGGGCCACTACATATCTATTAGACCAAGGATTTTGATTTTAGTCATTATATGCCTTTACTATTTTCAGGTTCCAGTGTATTTATAATTTAATAACTTCAATCATTAAATTCATCAGTATTAAAAGAATGGTTCATATTTAAAAGAATTGTTCAGTCTTTTTATACATCTTGTACCTTTGCTAAAAAATATATTAATTACAGGATTTATCAACTATAATAGACAAATATGCAAGGAATCTATAATAGACAAGTATGTTCCTAATGAAGGATGCCTCTGTGAAGGACTTTCTAAGGAAAAATTCATAATTATGTAATACATAGGAAAAACTAAGACCCCTCCCACACAATTTGCACATTATAAGCCAAACTTTAGATAAATTACCAGGATTTAAGAGCCATATCTGAAAACTGATCACTGACACTATATTACTGCTTCCTTGCTAATTGGTAATTTAGCCACTAGAAAATTAAAAATCTGCAGAAGAAACACTACTTACTGAATCTAATTGTTACATTTACAATAGCTTTATCACACTGAAATTTAACTGTAAATAAATGCAACAGATTCACACCAAAATTAACAATAATTAATTCACATAAAATTAAAATTTTAACTATTTCCAAGTGGAAAGGCTGTATATTTCAAAATGCAAATAATAACCTTTCTTTCAAAAGCAATATCTTCTGAAAATGAACATCGTTCAATGGTACTGAATGTATAACAGATTATTAACATCATCTCCAATTATATATTTTATAAGGCATTTGATACGATATTTTATGGAATTTATATATTCTTTACCTATATAAACATATTAAGATGCATGTATGTGAGGCAAAAATATATAAAGCAAATTTCTAATGGCAAGAGTCCATTTTATTTTTCATTGCATCATTTCAAAATTAACCTGCATCTTAAGATATTAATGCAACGCTGCAGTGAAGACATCTCTTATCCAATCATTGAATAAGATTTCTGTTGAAATCAAACCATTCTTTATCATCCCTATGTTTTTCTTCTAAATAAGGACTTGCATGCATCAAAGTAATACGTCACCACTCTTTTCTCTGTCTAAAGATGCGCTAAGCTATAAAAAAATGTAAGGTGCATATCCTGCCCATAATTACATAAATTTGATTAAAATGTTAATAAGCTTTATCCAATAATAAAATTATGTTGAATCTATGGCTGCATCTGTCATTCTGTCTTTGCAATAAGCTTTTCCAATAGATTACATATATATCACTTATTTTCAGCTTTACTACACAATACAATTTAGTAATACATTTGTTGTTAAAAATTTCATAATTACATTTCAGTTTAAAATTCTCACTTACTTTTACTAGAATTCCAGAGTTTTCATTCTAATTTATTCTATGCAGGCAAGCATTATCATCCATAAATATTGCATTGGTACCCAATACAGCAATAAAAGGACATACAAGAGGATGTAGAATTTTGTTACAATATCAGATGGCTGGGACAGAAACACCAGGAATGACACAGAGGTCCGTCTGGCCCTTCGTTGCTATCCCAGCCTGTAGAAGTTAGCCTCCTCTTCTATAATGGTACCTTTCAATGATGTTCGGCATCCAATAGCATGTCCTTGTCACTGCCCATCAGGTATCATTCTGGGTGTTAAATCAAGACTAATCCATAAAGAGTATGTGGCCCCACTGTTCTGGTGCTCAACTGCGATTTTCACGGGCCCAATTTAACTGCATCCGTCAGGCATACAGTCTACCTTCATGGAGTTAATGCAACAGAGTTTCAGGATATGGGCCATACTGCAGCAGCAAAAAGATGGGACACCAACTGTTATGTGTTAGTGATCTTGCACATAGCAACAGAAAGCAATCGTCTGCCAATGTGGTAATCCTCCAATGTCCAGATGCACTTCTTCTAGAGGGGTTTTTGATCCTATTGATAATGATTCCATAGCCTATTGATGATACTACAATACACATTCAGCACTCTTGCAACAGCGGACTGTCATGCACCAGCTTGCAAAATCCCGACAGCCTTCCAACGCATTTCATCATGCAAGTGGTATCTATGGCTCACACTTTCCACTTTGGTTATCTTGGATTACACGGAAATATCACTGCTTACAAACTGATGCAGAGTTCCATTACACTCTTTTTTAAGGCATTGTGATGTGACCATGGGATTATATTTTATACTAATTTTGGTTGCCCATTTGTATTTTGTAATTCAACCTTTACCTAATGTGTAAATTGTATGTTTTAATCCCTTTTTCACATTTGTACTTTTTCTTGTAGCATTTGTTGCTTATTTTTATTTCTTATATAATAATATTTTTTTATGTACTTACTCGAAGGATGATTCACTCTCTAAATCCAGAAATGAGAAATGTTCTCTGATGTTTCAGTTATATCATTATATGTGGAGCTGAATGGAATATGTAAAGCATTTCGTTTCAATTCATATAAATTATCCAGGTGTTCAAAGCTGCATGATCCAAAATACTGAAAACTATTTATACAGGCAATCCTCTAGAAGCAGATTTAACTGATTATTTTCAGCACATCTGATCACGAATTTCCACACCATACTTTGTTGCAAGTGTATATATATTCTATGAATAAACCCAGGACAAATAATTATAAAGAAAATCATGTTTTTGTCAGGGTTAACATTTGCTTCACTTCTTTGAGCTTTTCCACACATTAAGTTGTTTCTGACTCGTAGACCTAATAATATAAATGAATGCATGCTCTTATAAATGGCAGACCTTTGCAACTTAATGCATTTGTTGAGCTTAATATATATATATATATATATATATTAACTGATTTTGTGCACTCCACCCAATGCCTGAATATATTTATTTTTCTCAATACTCTGAAAAGAAGAATATAAAAAAGTGGTTATGTGCATTAAACACTAGAACGGCGGGAAAATCTTACCTACTGGAACGGCGGTAAGGGGTCATTTTAACCCTTCGATGAAAGTACTGAAATAACAATGGTAAAGCAATTTTAAATGCCATATGTTGGCACAAATATGTACTTAATATGTATTTCATAATTTATATTTAATATCACATGATAATTTATTGACTTTTTAAAATACTGTCAATGTATCGAGTACATGGCAATCAATTGGATCATACTATAATTACTCAAATAACTCATAATTTGATTTAATAAGAATTGATTTCAAAATAAATTGTTTCACAAATTAAAACTAATGCTAAACTAAAAAATAAACACAATTTATATAATAATATTTTTTATGTACTTACTCGAAGGATGATTCACTCTCTAAATCCAGAAATGAGAAATGTTCTCTGATGTTTCAGTTATATCATTATATGTGGAGCTGAATGGAATATGTAAAGCATTTTGTTTCAATTCTACTTAATGTATAAAATATTAGAGATCACACATACATATTAAGAATTAATGCAGTTGATATAAAAATTATTTTTAACAATTTTTCCATTGCATTTTCCGCACACAACTTTGGAACAAGATGCACAATATTCTTGAGATTTGTGCCATTGCAGCTTTATACTTGACACCTTTTTTATATCCATTTTCTTTTCATGTGTTTTTCTGAAGGAAGGATCTTTGGGAGTTTTGAAACCATATATACCTTTCTTAACTCCTCTCCTAATTTCAGTAGACAATCTCTCCTGTTAATGGTGTTTTTTATAAATTACACTTTTATAAATTATCCAGGTGTTCAAAGCTGCATGATCCAAAATACTGAAAACTATTTATACAGGTAATCCTCTAGAAGCAGATTTAACTGATTATTTTCAGCACATCTGATCACGAATTTCCACACCATACTTTGTTGCATTGTAAAAGGCTATTGAATCAGGCAACTTCTTGAGACTGTCTTCAGATTTTACAGTAGAATATAATGAGCTCAGTAGAAAAACGCTTTTGTTTCTTTTGCCTTGATAGATAATAAGTGTGATATTATCACGTTACACTATTGTCGATGAATAAAGATTACGCATATTTTAGAAAAGATATAAGAATTTCTCTTCTGTTCTTTTTCATTGTGCCGACCATAGTTGTATTTTCTGACTTGAGTATTTCTGTTAATTTAATGCTAGTAAAATAGTTATCCATGGTGATATTCCTCTTTTTGTTTTGATGTGGCTCCGTTAATTTTATGACAATATTTTCAGGCAAACGTAATTAAAGATTTGCTGTTTCACCTTTTCCTAGATAAGGAAATCCATTCAAGAGGTATTTAGCTTCAACATCGACAGATAACCAAAATTTTATTCCAAATTTGTGAGGTTTATTAGGTATATATTGTGTAAATCTACACCTAGCTTTAGATGGGAATAATTGTTCATCAACTGAAATATTTTGTCCTGGCCGGTAGCACATTTTGCAGTTTTCAATAAATTTGTTCCACATGTCTGATGCAAGAGCAAATTTATCAGTCTGTAATCCAGTAGATCTTGTCGTCTTTTCATCAAACCTTAAAAATCGTTTTATTTTTTTGAATCTATATCTTGATATAGTTCCTTTGCAAAATGGTATTCCTCATGCTTCAGACTGCAAGGAATATAAATCTTAGCCCTTTGCTCCTATTACTCCTCGAACATACAATATAGTGACAAAAGCATCTAACTCAGCCAGAGATAACTTTCAGTCTTCATTTCCAAGTTGCCGATGAGCTTCGGATTCTGTACATTTCTTTATGTGCAGCAAGATATCATCATCAATAAAAAGCTTGAAAGCACTAGACACTTTGTCCTCAGAAACATGACTATTTACAAAAGATGTTGGCCCTGCTGGTTTCTTTTAGAACATTATAAGCAGCAACACGGCAGCAGACTGAATTTTTGGAATTTATTTCATTCCATATAGTGTTATCAGGAGCTGTAAAAACAGTTTTGCAAATACCCTGATCTGTTTTTGCTCGTTTATTTCTGCTGAGTTCTTATTCGTTTACTTCGCTGTCCTCAGATTCACTAATAGTTAGTGTCTGGAATTCATCTTCAATTTCTACAGAAAAATTATCAATCTCACCTCCATCAGATTCATTTTCAGATAGCTCCTGCAACAATTTTTTAATTTCTTCATCCATAAGACCTCTTTTCCACTTATTAGACATACTTTGTAAAAGTTGAAAAAAGTAGAAAAATATCAGACTATCAGAAAACGATAGGAAATATATTTTAGCATATGATTCTCACAGTGTAGAGGAAAGGTGATAATGAACTTGAGGGCAGAATTCATATGTACTGAAATACATATTTGGGATTACCAAGAAAATATCTGTCCTAACTGTTATCACCTGCAGTAAGCTGAACTAACAAACGGGAAAATACATCTGTAAAATAAACTATTTCTGAAAAGAAATTAAGCATGAAAAACTCTGCATCTACCTACCTTGCAGTATTTTCTTCAAACAAATAGATAATTGCAAACATAAGGAACAACAGCTTATGTAGACATTACAAAGTAGTGAGACCACTCAGGTTTTTATCCATCTGGGAGATAGTATGAATGCAATCGAAAAATCCTTATCAGTGAATGTTTTTCATTGATTTTTTGACAATGCCTTAGAGCAGAAAAAGAGATAAAAGTAAAGGAGTCATAATGACAGCCGTTCTAGGAATACATGCCAATATTTCAAAAACTAACAAACCTAGAATGCTGAAATTTTTTTTACAAATATTTATTATCTATTTAGGTCAAAAAATCAAGTCAAAAAATTCCAAACGATTTCTTCCAATAAAACAAAAGTAATCAACAGCCGAAAGTGTTCAGGGATCAAAATTACCCCTACTGCAGTTCTAGTGTTAAGTGATATATATGTATGTGTTGTGTGCATATTTATAACACAAAGAAATATTTTGTCACATTAAAATCAGTATTTTTGAATGTTGCTGATAATTTCTTAATAAATATTTAACAGCCTGAAATCTTTTCTTTTATGCATTCCCCAATGAAAGCAGGAAATTTAACAGCATTTCTCTAATTTAAATGTATATCTGTAATCATTATTGCTGTATTTTAAATCAGTAAAATGAAATGGCTCCCAAATGTTTTTCAAAATATTTTTAATAGGTTGTGAATATTTAAATAAATGAAATGTAAACTAATTACAAAAATAACAAAACTACATAAAATAATCTAACCCCTAAGGACATATATAACTTACAACTTATATTACAAGAGATAAAATGCACATTTTATGATACAACACAGAAGTATAAACATACAGTTCCAATTATTAATTCATCATATATGTCTGTTGACTGAAGAGATCCATAGTTAAACTTGCTAAAAATGCAGGAAAACTGTCATACTGTTGTAAGTACAACTCCATGCGATCACCTAACTGTTTAGAATACTCTGTTTCAACCAGCTGGATTCCTTCTGAATTAATCTGAAATTTTCACATTTAAAAGTATAGTACCAAAATATATTCTAAAATATATGTTCAGAATAAGTTAAATGAATAACGTCCTCCACCAATAATAATAATAATATTTTTTAAATTTCAATAACATCTATGGTTTGCAAGAAAAGAATGTAGGAAACACATGAGGAAAGTGCTCATTGCCAGTATACTTCAACTGCTTTTCCTACATTTAATTAAATCAATGAAAATAACTTCACTGGTAAACAAAACTGATAATTAGTGAACACAAACTAACTATACACCTCAACAAAGGTAGGTTATGTAATATGAAATAGAAGTGGACATACAAGGTGTATCCAAAAAGTAAGTTCCCATATTAACAACAGATGGCAGGACATGCACTGAAAAAGGCAAATACACATGCCTGAAAGATTTAGGATATGGCTCTCATATGCATATGACATTAATTAAAATCAATAATATCACAATTATATCGGTTTAAAATGCCCACCTTTAATTTTTACCTCCTAAGTGTGAGAGTAGATCTGATAAAGCTTTTAAAAGCAGAGAAGCTAACACCAGTTGTGTCAAGTTTATGAGCTTCACATCACAAGTATGCAGATGGTGTACCATTAGTGCAAGCAGTTTTACAAAAGTCATCATGACAATCCATGATCAGGAGCACACTGGGCAGATGTCCCTCATCAGTCGGTACTTTGTGCACTAAAAGCGACAATATATTTTGGAGAACTATTGCTTCCTAGTTACGGAACTTAGCAGACATTTTCCCCATATATTACATTCTTTACTGAATGAAATTATCGCAAATCACTCCTTGCTCTGAAAACTGCATTTCGGGTGAATGCCAAAAAACTCAACACCCAAATACGAAAACAAATGCATTCCTGGATCAGCATCTGCAGTGATACCATGAGAATGGTGATGAGTTCCTGAACAGAATCATACCAGGTGAGAAAACATAGGCTGCTCACTTTGTCTCAAAACCCAAGCAGAAATCAATGAACTGGCATCAGATTAGATTTCAGTGCAGTACAAAATTTAAGCAGATTCTGTCTGGAAAAAATGGATGTGCACAATACCCAGGATGTCAAAGAGCAGAAAGGATATTCTGCACATTGGCATCCTGGGAAGAAGTAAACTAATTAGTGCTGACCATTATAGTAAAACATTGCAGAAACTGCTACGAGCCCTCGAGAACAAAAGATGTGAGATGCTCAGTGCAAGTGTTGTGTTGATCCATGATAATTCTCACCCACATACTGCTCAATGCACAAAACATTTGCTCAAGGAGTTCTGCAAAAAGATGTTTGATTACCCATCCTATAATTCTGCCTTCACTCGCAATAACTTCCACTTTTTTTAACACCTCAAGAAATTCCTGTTTGGTCAGAATTTTAAAACTAACAAAGAAATGTAGACAGCTTAATACATAGTTCTGATGCCGGGCAGCAGAATTCTGTGACAGAGAAATACAGAAGTTGATCCCACTGTTTGATAAATTTCTCTGTTCTGGTAGTGAATATGTTAAAATAAAACTAAACCATTGTTGTATTGGCTCCAGTATATGTTTCCATGTAATTTTGCTTTCTTTTTATTTAAAACCCTAAAGAAACTTACAATGTAGATGGCTTTTTGTATTACAATGAAATTTTAAGCATGGAAGTATGATATTAAATACAAAGAAATTAGATTGTTGAAAATTATAATTTTATTTAAATTTACGAATAATTGCATTAAATGTACAGGGACAAGTTAAAGACTTGATGTTAAAAAACAGTGAACAAAGCCAAAACCGGGGGGGGGGGGGGGCTTATCTCATTGAATTCTGACAATTATGGTATACCCACATTTAAATGTCCTGTGAAAATGCCAGTTAGCCTATACAGTACAAAGTCCGTAATCCGGACTCGTCGGGACTTCGGCGATTCCAGATTAGGGGTTTTTCCGGAAATTATAGATCATCAATTTAAATCTGGTAAGATGGCATGCAGAAATTATACAATTTATGAAATAAAGAGCAATTATGATCTAAAGGGTATCAAAATTTACAAAAAAGGGGGGGCTTAATATTTATTTGTTTACTTTATTAAACATTCATCCCTTTGTCATGATCGCCACTTTTATCATAACGAACCCTTTTTCTGTTAGTCATTGCAAGTGGGGTGTCGGAATCCACAAAATATTCAAAAAGTTCCTTTTTTTTTTGCTCATGTCATATACAGTTGACTTTTCAATGTCATACTCCTCGCATAATTTTGAGATGGATATGCATATAATTTTGAGACTTTATCCATTTTTTGCAGCAATTCCACTTTTTGTTTGATGGACATTGAAACATGCTTTCGCTTTGTAGATCCTTTGGCAGCTCCAGAATAGGAAATTCTTTTTGACATAATCGAAAGTTCAAGCTTACTTTTATAAAATTGCTCTAACAGTCTGCAAAAAATAATAAGCCAGATCCAATTAGAAGATTAAGGAACAACGCAAACTACAACATTAACTGAAATAGATAATTAGATAATTTTAGCCTAGCTTATACCGTCCGTTATACATTAAACGCACATGCGTAAACGCATATGCGCATGCGTAAACACGCATATGTGCATGCGGAAACGCATTATGCGCATGCAGAAACACATATGTGCACGCATAAACATGCATATCTGCATGTGTATATGCATTATACGTTTACGCATGCGCATAAAGTTTGTAGCTATGAGGTCCGGGTTATAGATCATTCCCGATTATGGACGTCCGGATTAGAGTCTTTGTACTGTATCTTCCATACCTCAATCACTCAGATTAATGGGCAGCCAGCTAGGAGCTAATAGACATCAAAATACACCAAATGTGCACTAAATAAAATAAAAACAAATTCTTTATCTGGCGGTTTTAGGTCTTTTGTCTGTGACCTGAGAACATGTTTCCATATGGCACTGGCTATCAGCAAATTTTCCCCCTTCCTTAGAAGTCAATATTACAGTTAGTACTTATATTTCTCTAACTACAACTTGTCTTGAATACATGCAGTCTGTCAATGTACAAGGAAAGGAATTATTACAGCTTCTTCATTAATAAGCAATCCAAACAGCTGTACGTTGAACTACAGATCAAGCAGAATAGACAGCCACTTATCAGTTTCCAAGTCTCTATATTATATACCCCATTTTCTTTGAAATCTGCATTGATTTTGCACTGTCATCATGTATATATTAGCAGTCTCCATACATGCTCTCCATTAAATAACAGCAAGTGGTTTATGTAAACGTAGCCTTATCACCACTAAGACTACTTATGCAGATCTACAGATTTCTCCCAGTGATGAAAAATGAGTAGCTAGTATTAAATAAAGAGTTTCTCTTAAAGTAAGCCTTGATTTAAGGAAAAAAATTACAATGCATCCTGAAGTTTGAAGCCATTCCCAAAATCCAGGCATATAAAACATGTCTTAAACTTACATGTTCACTGGAACTTTTTATAGCAGTTGTCAAATATTCAGTACCTGCTATTATATTTATTATGCACTTTCGAACTTTTCTACTTATAACCCATCACTTCTAATCCTATTAAGCAATATACATTATAAAAGGTGTGGCTATTAATTTTCAGGACTGCTCTAATAACACCAGAACAGATGATGAGAAAAACTTAGCCTTTTAATATGTTTTGAAGTAATCTCCATCGGCCATAACACACTTTTGTGCTCGGCTAAGTTATGGAAACAACTTTCACAGTCCTCTTTCGGAAGGCTCTTCAATGTCGACATCACATTTTTCTTGATGTCTTCAACATCCACAAAGCGTGTTCCTTTGATCACAGTTTTGAGTTTGGGAAACAAAAAGAAGTCTGCGGGGACGAAGTCAGGAGAGTATGACTGAACATTCCCAAACTCAAAACTGCGATCAAAGGAACATGTTTTGTGGATGTTGAAGACATCAAGAAGAACGTAACGTCGACGTTGAAGAGCCTTCCGAAAGAGGACTTTAAAAGTTGTTTCCACAACTTATATAGCCGAGCACAGAAGTGTATTACGACAGATGGGGATTATTTTGAAACATATTAAAAGGTTACATTTTTGACATCATCTGTTTCGGTGTTATTAGAGCAGTCCTGGAAATTAATAGCCACACCTTGTATAATTTCTAATATAAAATCATGCACAGACATGTTTATATTAAAAAATGTTCCCAGTATTTAAGTTAACACTGTATTTTGTTCATTTTAAGGCAATATCACTTTACAAATTGTTTAAGAAATTAAAAAACAATAAAAAATTTATCATAAGGTTAATTAATTATATACAAAAATGCAATGATGTTATTGATATTTTCAGGATGCCAGAAGACAAAAATGTACACGATTGAATTAAACTTTGCAAGGCATTTTTATGCTAAGATTTCATTTTTTGTTGAATAATTTACATAACAGAGAAATATCAGTTATTAAAATCATTTCAAAATAAACAGCTATGTCAAAGTTCTGAACTTGTTCTGAAGATGTACTTATGAAATCCCAAGACTTCTTAAATTTCTTCTGTAATTAACTACATACAATAAAATTCATAATGGATAATAAATTACTTAAAAAAAAAACACCAAACACAGAAATAATTTCAACTTCCCTATATATACACTAAAGAACCATATACCATATTGTAAATATAAAGAACCATATGCCATATTGTAAAGAGCTATCATATGCCACATTTTCCCACTGGTGTGCTAAGAAAAGTCAAAAAAGACAAAAATATATAAAAAATACTTTAGAATATTAAAACAATGTTAAAAAACAACTGCCCTAATATTAAATATATGTTACCTGAAATAATAAATAATCATCACGAGATTCAGCATACAAATGAGATAATTTGTAAGTTTCAGCTGCAGGAACATCTATGCGATAACCCAAGAGTCGATACACAGTTTCTCGAAATTCAGTAGACTTTATGCGAGCATTCTCCAGAATGAAGCGTTGCTGCCTTTCTGCAGCTGCCAGTTGTTCTTTAAGAGCTGAAAACAAATCAAACAGAAATTATAGAACAGAAAAGATTCTTGCAAGTATTTATAAATTGCATGCTTTTTTAAAAAAAAAAAAAGTTTAAAAAAATTACAAATAAAAAAAGTTTGTTTTTAATTCTTTTTTTACTCTCCATAGGCTAAGGTTAATTCTAATAAAATGAAAAAATCTTTGTATCTATTAAAACAGATTTTTAAATATTATCTAATTCCTACATGATGAATAAGAATAAGAATGCTTAAGTAAACACACATTTATTATCTGAAGACAACTATTATGCTAAGTTTAAATTTATGTGTTCTTTACAATACTTTTAAGAGTGGAATCAGCTCCTTCATTAGCCAACTTCTGTTGCACTTTCATTGTTACATCATCAGCAGCAGCTCCTTCTTCCTCTAGAACTTTTATTCTTTTTTTCAAATGGTCATTTTCTTCTTGTAGCTTTTTGAAAGTTTCTAAATGTTTTGCATTTGCGTTATCTAATGGATTACACTTGAGATGCAATATTCGACCATCCCAAGAACTTTTTTCCTGTCCCTGTTAAAAAAAATTTAAAAAAAAACTGCCGTTTAATGAATTAATAGTAAATAAAGTATATTATTCATCTGCTTTTCTTTTTTCTCCTACTAATATTTTTAATTGATACAATGTGTATCAAAAGATAAGTTTGATTTTAGGTATTGTAGAGTGTTAAATGTTTGTTTTTCCATGCGATTCCCAGAATAATCTTGCTCTAAGCTTAAGCTGAGCCATCCAATAAATTCCATAAAATATGTTTCAGACCATATGAAAATTAATGTACAGTGATGTAGTTTGATTTATGTAAAATGTTACTCTCAGTCCTTCAGAGAATAATTGAGTGGTGGCCATTTTATTGTTAAGGCACCTAATAGGCAGCCACTGTTACCTCCTATAAGGGGACAGAGAATTTACATCCATACTTTCTCTGGGATTCGAATGCGGGACCTTCGTTATCGAAATGAGCTCTCCTAACCACTATACCGTCTGGATGGCTCAGAGAATAGAAATTGGCAATATATGTTATGAGAACCAACATAATACAGACTAAGCAGGCAGTTTCTGATCTTGTTATTCAAATTTATTAGAAGAACTCTAAATAATATGGCAAGTACATATTAAGAAGGAATCCTAAACTTTAGGATCATACATGGAATTGTTAGAGAGGCATCTACAGGCAATTTCCTCTTCAACAGGGTGGTGTTACACAGGTTCTGGATTAACCAGGCTGTGTCTAAAGAAATGTTTATTTATTGTGAAATAATGGAAAATTTACTATTCATATCTGCCAACTTCTAAAGATAAAAATTCAGAAGAACACGATGAATTAATATCATGCTTTGATATTGAAAAAATAACAATTTATACAAATAGAAAAAAGAAAATTGTACTTACATTAGTAAATCTCAATTAAGTAGTAACTAAAAAATTTATTAGGAAACATAAAACAAGAACTTAATGTTACACAAAAAAATTATTGCAATGAATTTAGAGTGCATTTTTTGGCTTTAGCCAAAAATTCTTTGGAAAATTTCCTGTCATAACAATTAGTTTCCTCATAACATTTAGCAATTAAAATGTTTTCTAGAGTTTTTGGTGAAACTGAAGAACGAAACATAGTTTTGTTTTTCTTCACAACACTGAAGACTCACTCGCACTCAGCACTACTGTGTGGAATTACGAGAATAGCACATAAAACTCTTGCTAGTCTATCATATTTTGGTATTCCATCAGCTCTTTTTAGTCTTTTTAAGGTACCAACGAGGACATCAAGTCTATCTTCTCCAGAACTGGAAAGTCTTCAAACCGTGCAGCAGAAAATTGGTTCTGCAGTTCATCTAAAGCATCATTATGGCATTCATTTTCTTTAACTGTTAACAAAAATGGAAATTTATCAATAAAAAAACGAATCTTTTCAAAAGATGAATTTTCAACTTGTCAAAAGATGAAACATCCGTCTGAAAAGTTGACCGGCATTATCAGCAGCGCTTAGCGGCACGTTGTGTTCGATGAGGAATGCAGTAAACAAACACTCTGCCAAAATGACATCGGCATCCGAATTTGTAGCCGAATTTGAAAAAAAATCATCCACTTTCTTTGACGTTGTCGAAGCCGAAGCATTAACTTCATGATTTAGATTTTAGACTTATCATGCTTCACAATGTCGCTTCTTCCACCGTGACTTATTATGAAGTCACACATGCACACGTTGCAAAATGCATAGTTATTGCTTCCTTTGAAGGATTCTTTAATTGTTGGAAATTCAGCTTTGTAGGCAGGGCGAAAATATTGAGAATGCGGTTTTTTTGAACTCATTTCGTAACAACGACGTATTAAGAAAATTCGTAGCACGTGCAAACAACAACAACAAACAACAAACAAAAAAAAAAAAAAAAAAACAGAATGCGACAATCCACGCTCGCTGAGTCCGAGCTGAGTAATTCCCTTGCTGCTGAAGCGAAAGCGAAAAAAAATAATCTGGCACCACATAAAGAAAAGAGTGAGAGAAACAAGTTCAGCGCATTGGATTGGCTGGTTAAGCGGCGAGTTGGGAGAAACCGCAGGTTACTGGATTCGAAGTAGTCGGTAGTTGGCAGTAAAACACGATGCTATTGTCGAAAATCCCTGAATTGGCGAAAAATTTTAAAATTCCGACAAAATCACTAAAAACGCTTGAAAAAGGAAAAAAATCGTAAAAAATGGATTACGATCGTAAAATCGTATACACAAACGCATTTTCGTAAAAATTACGAAACATTTGTAAAAGTTGGCAGGTATGACTATCACAAATCATCAAAATAAAATAAAACCATCTATAGGAAGAAAAGGAAAAGAAAAATTTTGCAGGATAACAGCTGTGATAGCAGATGACTTAATATTTGGGAATTATTTTCATCCTCAGCAATATTCAGTTTTATTGTATGTAATCTGGAAAATATAAACACTGTGCAACAAAGAAGAAAGAGTTCTAACTGACATTTTTATGGGACTTTGAAAAAGTTCTAATTAATTTTTTTGTGAGTTTGAACTCAATGGCATTGTTCAAATTCTCTCATTAATACTATTTTTACAAGCTACTTATAACTTATTTCTCTCACGACTTATAATATGTTCTTTTTACTTTGAATAATAACTCAATTTAGATAGTGAAATGAACTTATTCTCCAGATTAAACTGCTAGAAAATATAAGTAAATCGTTAAGAGTATTTTTGCAAGAGAACTAATTATTAATTATAGTACAGTTTATTTATTTATTTTTTTATACAATAACCCTTCGAATAACTGTGATTTTGAGTTAACATGGATGGGATTCCTAGTGTTACTCGAGTAATTCAACAGTCGAGGAAGAAAATCTATTCAATGAACAATCATAAATGCACCATTCTGAGAGGTTTTAACGAGCTTCCACATATTTAAAATGCCCAAATGAAGTTTTTACCAAATCTGAGAATGGAAGAAATGATTAGCATCTTGTATTTGCTCACAGCATTAAAGTGGAATGAAATCAAATTTGATTTTATAAGCAAATTTACGTGAACTATTTCATGTGAATAGTAAGAGGTATGTCTGCGCAATTTATGTATGTGTACTTGATTTCATAGTGTCTTCAGGAATAAAAAGATGTTTAAATCTTAATAGGCTAAATGGTTTCATATGATACTGCAGCAATCAGAGGAAAGAGCAAAATTTTACTAATGAAAATATAGTCTATTCATTTGGAATTTTATGGTAGCAGTTCCAACTCCATAAATAAATACTGCTGAATATCTGAACTGTTTTATTACTTTTTGCTAAACCATTTCAAAAGAATTCCACTATCAATCAGCAAAACAATGCTGTTGTACACACAGCTAATAAATACCACGATGTGCTTCAATCAGTGCTAAATTTAGTCATTAAAGTGACTCTTTCAATTATCAGATACAGCCCTATTGAAAAAACGCAAAATGCTCGTGTGCTTGGTATATGATAATAACAAAGAATATGAGTCTTATTATAGAACACTGAAGTGTAATTTCAGGAGCATTGTAGCATCTCAAACTGTAAATGTTTTAAACTATAACTGATTGATGATTTTAGTGTGAATAAAGGAAAGCCCATTGTTTCATTAGCTATCTATATATTGTTGTTATTATTCTTTATTCAAATGCCATGACTAACGTTTTGCTTGCAAAAGTGCGGCTTCTTTCATAAATTTTTCCAGTAGGATAAGAAGTATTGTTATTTTGACTACTGAAGGGAGCATGACTATTGAAATGACCTTTGACAACTGAAGTGAGCATGTTCTCTGGATAATCAATCAACTGAAACACAACTTATAGCCGTAATAAACCTGGCTAAACCTGAATTAGAATATATACAGAGCAAGTATATGTGTGGACTACCATTCAATAGAATATATTGATGTGCAAAGACATGTAAACACTAGGAACTCAGCTGATGAAATAAGCATATATATTTTACAATGGAATATTTACAAATTGCATAAATGTAACAACCTGGATATACATTATCTCCAAGCTGTTACATTTTTTAGCACCTGTGCACACAACTAGAGATGCAACTACTAAAATAAATGCATAATGTGGTCTAAAAGTGAAACAATGTTGGTTGCTAATGCTTTCATTGTTGTGCATCGAATGTATGACCATGAAAAAATCTGAATTAGAAACACTATCTAGCAGTGAAAGAGAACACATGCAAATATTTAATAAGATGAAAATGTTTGGGAACAGTGAAATATATACACTGGTGTGCAAAAATTAAGGACGAGACGGTTTTTTCAATATTACTTTGTACAAAAGCTTTCCAAATCAACACATTTAATACCGTAAGATCCCCAATACGTAAGGACATGAGTAATGTAAGCAACACTTCCTAAAAGAGAAATCAGAGGATAAAAAGAAGCTTTATTGAAAAAGTAGCATGGAGTGCAATGCGACTGAAGGCCGAAACATCCCTGTGATGGGTTGTCCAGCAAGAACAATCCGGTCTTTAATAGGGGATATGATCTCCCCTGACTGCTAGGCAGGTTTCACAGCATCTGCCATGCTGAGAATGAGGGTGTCAATGAGTTGTTGAGGCATTGCTTCCCATTCATCTTGCAGCGCCAATCGAAGCTCCGGAATCGTTACTGGTGGTAAGGTACGAGCTGCCAAGCGTCTGCCTAGAAAATCCCATACATGCTCGATGGGATTGAGATCCGGAGATCGTGGCAGCCAATCCATACGTTCAATATCCTCACTCTCTAAGAGCTGTTCGGCAGCTACTGTGAGATGACATGGTGCATTGTCGTCCATCATGAAAAGGAACTGCGGACCCATAGCGCCTCTAAAAAGACGCACATATGAAAGAAGATCTCGTTACAATAACGGGTCCCGTTGACTGAACCTGCGTTGAAGATGTGAAGGTCTGTACGACTACCAAGCATGATGCCTCCCCAAACGAGAACACCGCCACCTCCATACCTGACCCTTTCAATGATGTTCGAGGGATGATTGCGGCTTCCCCGCTCTCTCCAGATGAGTATGCGATGAGAATCGCTACTCAGACTGAATCTGCTCTCATCTGTAAAGAGTACTCATCCCCATTCATAGTATCTCCAATTCCGGTGTTCCCGGCACCACAGAGAACGCCTTCTCCGATGGGCAGGCGTTAGAGGTACACACCGTACAGGGCGTCGTGCAAACAGACCACCACAGTGCAGTCTTCTGGCCACGGTAAAAACGCGATCGGTCGTCCAGTCGCCTGTGTCGTGTGTCTAGCGATTTCTCCGCTGTTTGCACCTGTTTCCTTCTGGCCTGTAAGGTATATACCGGTCATCTGCCAGTGTGGTTCCTCGGGATGACCACTACTAAAATCCCAGATAGCTGTTCCTGTAGTTTGAAATTGTCTCCAAAGTCGTGAAACGATGCTGTGAGCAATTCTGAACTCTGCAGCCACACTTGTCACACTGCGGCCTTCCTCCAACTTCCCAATGATTCGACTTCGAGTAAAAGCATCCAGATGTCGTCTAACAGATTGATTATTCGCCATTGCTCGCTGAGGCAGCAACTCGGTGTGATTTTATCTGCTATACGATGTACAATCTCTTTGCCAGAAATACTAATCTTACACCGACAACATGCTTTATACTACTCAGACACTCCCCCATTACGTCTACCTGCATATCTGCGCATGTGCTACAGTACATCACTTTACTTAATCTCCTGATTGGTCTTTCTGTCCGCTCTGCCTCTTCGTTCAGCTGATATGCTAATTTTTCGACTTCGTCCTTAATTTTTGCACACCAGTGTATACTATGTGTATACTTATATTTCTCATTTTATATGTACCTTTTAAAGATAAAATATGAAAATATAAGCAGCATTTAATCTTTATAAGATATAAAAATATAAGCAGCATTTAATCTGTATAAGATATAAAAATATAAGCAGCATTTAAGTAACATACAAATTTTTTTGTATTTTTAAAAATAAATTACATAATCTACTCATATATATATATATTAAAAAAACAAAAAAAGAAAAAAAGAAAAAAAAAAAGAAAAAGAAAAGAAAGCATGAACAGCATAAAAGACTTCTAAAAAAAAACTTACCATATTTTGATTAGCATATTTATTTTCTAACTGAAGTTTCTCTTTCTCCAGCTCAACAATATGAGCTAAATGTAAAGAATTCTCATCTCTGAAACAAACTTTAAACCTTAAACCACCGTGCAAATATATATATATATTATTTATTGCAATCGCAAATATAGCAAAACCTAAAATATTATTGCTTCAGATTAAAATATTATTGCTTGTATTTACAAACACCCATGACTTCTCCAGGATTCAAACAGGTTTTATGAGATTTAAATTCTTTAATAAATAAAAAGAAATTAGAAAGACTACTAGAAGCTCCAATGGGTGTTCCTTTGACTTGTTTAAACAGCTGATTTTCAAATTTAATGCAGTTATTAAAAATAGTGCAAGTGAGGAAGGTCTTCCATTAAAGTCTAGTATAGTGAGCATAGTAGGAAAGCATTCTGGTACAAAAAGAAAGCTAATGTAGATTTCTTCTAATGGAAGCAAAGTATGTAAATTTTCAAAGTCATAGATGTTTATAATATCTAGAGAATGAATAGTTTTAATAATAGGATGATTATTACTGATAATCCAGCAATAATTATGTTCTGTGTTACTTGTAGTAAAGATTAAATTACATTTTTTTTTCTTTTTTAAGCTACAGCGCAAAAAAAAAAAAAAAAAAAAAAAGTCTCTCTCTCTCTCTCTCTCTATATATATTTTTTTCAGTTGTTAATGCCATTAGCAATGCATCTGAATTTTAGTGATGTTTTATGGAACTTAGGAAAAGCACAAAAGGTTAGCAAATCTGTTGTTGATTACTGAAATTTCTGTTACATTAGTGAGCTGATAAGTTGCAGCATTTAGCAGTTCTATGCCAATAATTATTTTGCAGTAAAATTTTCAAATAATGCTTAAGTTATTATTTGCATTCTCTATTTTAGTGATACTAAATTGTTGTTTTAATGCTTTAATACCAGAAAGAATGTGAGATCATTTTAACCTGCTACAAAATTTTACTTGGTTAATTTTCAGTTTTTATTCGTTGCAGTATTTCGTCCTTCCACTTAAAAAAAGCAGTATTAGGTATACTAAGCTGAGAGCTAGACTTGACAATAAATTTGTTGAAGTTATTTTCTATACTTCTGAAGCAAAACCTTTTGCTAATGTACCATACTGGTCTGCATTCTAAACCAAAGCTGATGAGATTTTTAAGGTGTGGGTCTTGAATGATATCTAAGTTTTCAGTAAATATGTGTTCATGGTGAGAATCAATGTAAGATCTAAACTAAGGTAATCTGCAGTGTCATTTTGTCCAAAACTAATATATATATATAGATATATATATATATATGAATGAATGAATGTATCTTTGATGAATTTTCAGGATGAAAAGATATGTGATGTTTCTTCAGTTTTGATTTCATAATGGGAAAATGTAAGACACTTTTTTAGTCTTATTGACTTTATGCATCTATCAGACTTTTGTTAAGATACCTTTTTCCAGTTTTCAAAGCCCTTACTCAATTCCTCATATCCATTTATAATAATATCTTAATAAGATAGCCTTAACAACCTTTTGTCTTTTTGACTATACATATTTATTAAACAACAGCATTATACAAGCACGTAATATTTAATACTACATTGTTTCATTATTCCTTTGTCTACCATACGTGCATGTTCTTTCCCTCTCTTTCATTATCTCCCTCTGCCTATGGTTACTGCCACCAAACCAGTATAATGGTTAGAGACACTGACTGCCATCTTGGTTAGACCACTTGAATGGGCTGGCTTCAAATTCGGGTAAGACAAGGATGTTTGTAAGCATAGAGTGTCTGTGCGGCAAAGGGGCATTCAAATTTCACAATGAGCCAAAAGTCCTTCTGAGATGTAGGTAGTAGGGAAAAAGATGGGCAAAAGACCTTTGGACTGCACCCTGTGTGTTCTCACTCAAAACTGGAATGGAAGCTGGACAGTTAGCTAGGTTCAGCAATATCTCAATCACCTGTAGTACTACAGAGTACTCGCCTAACTTCTGCATGTACCTGCATATGGTTACCCTTCTGCATCGGGACACCACAGAACTTCAGCTTTTGTAACTGTATTCTTTATATATACACTACATTATATCTTTAAAAATAATACATGGTGATAAAATCATAGCAAAAAATCATATTACAGTGAGATTACATTTGTTTCAATCCTATTCTTTTTTTTTTATTAAAGATTAAACAAGATGCAGAAATTATCATAAGCATAAAGTAAGGAAGCAACTAACCTCTCCCTTATTTGAAATAGTAACTATCCTTCAATTTAAGAAAACATTTTAAACAAAAAATACGCATATATTTTCGGAAGTAACATTTGCCAGTTATATAATCATGCTTCATGCATCCAAAATAGCACATGATACTATGTACAACGGATTTTTTTATTGTTAACCAAAAAATAAGAAACATATATGAGATTGTATGCCAAGTATATATGAAACAGAGTATGTAAGAGACTCTCTTGCCATAATCTCTATTTCATATACAGCAGAGTCTTGGCTATCCGACATACACGAGTGAGCAGAATCTTGGATAAACAACAAAGTAAAAATATTAAATGTAGATGTTAAGAAAAAGGCCTATTAATCATCAAACTATGTCATAATTTTACATACAAACTCTACCCAGAAAATTTTGTAAATGACATAGCTCACAGTCATATAAAGTATGCAACCAGCACTTCCAGTGCCAAGCAGGTCAACACTGAATTAGTTCTAGGGGTATGCACGTTTATTATGGAACTGCATGTTTATTATGGAAACAGCTCATTGTAGAGTGAAGATATTGTGTGTGCATTCGAAACTCAAAATAGATCAGTGAACAAATATGCTGTTCTGTTTCAAAGTTGGAAAATCAGCAAAACAGATTCATGAAATCCTCATAACAGTATGAGCATGCATGTGTGAGTAGTTTAAATTCATCTAAGAAGGGCGGGACACCACTGAAGACAGGGTTCGTACACATTTTCTGCACAAGGAAATTAAGTACTTTTAAGGAGCTTTAAGGGCCTATCAGCAAATTGGAGCTGGATAAATTCAATTAAATTCAATCAACTTAATATCTGAACTTCACTTTTGTAATAACTCGCTAAGTGTAAAATAAATCCATAACTAAGATGCATTCTTATTAAACATAATTTAATAAACATAACTAAAACAAATTTGAGAATAAAATCCACTATTTTACACGTATAATTGTTAAACATATTTGAAAGAAGATTAGGAACATTTTACTTACATTTTACTAACAGTTAGCTTTATGTTGATTTTTTTTCTTTTATACCTCATTTTGCCACATACTTAGTCTAGAGGTTTAGTAAACAGCAGGTAGATTTTATGTCAAACGGCATAGGTTAAAAGGAGAAATAAAATCATAATCAGCATGATTCATAACAAAAGACTGGCTGTTGCTACTGCTGCCATGCCTAAAGCCAGACCTGCTGATCAGAACAAACCTAAAAGCCTGATGTAAGCATGGTTAGCAAGTTTTGAAAGTTAGTTGTGCTCTGTCTGCCTGACACAGTTAGTGTCATAACTTCGTGTTCCAGGGGTTATAACTCAGTTAATATACTTTAAGGTTTCAATAAGCCACTAAAGCATGAGAGGTGATAAGTTGTTCTATATGATTTTAAGTCTCACTAGATGTAAAAAATAAGTTTTACACTGAACTTTTACATTTTTGTGCTCTATCTTGTGATCACAGTAAGGCTTAATGAAAGGTAATAACTTCACTTTAATATGCAGAGATAATTCTTGAAGGGTGAGCAGTTATTTACAGATAATTAAATAGGTAGTTAATTCTGATAGTCCTTATAGATTTACATGACCACTATTAAATTTTATTTATTTTTTAAAAACATTTGTTAGAAAAGCACTATTAAAATCACAATCTAATAACATTTCACAGTTTAAAATACACGCAATTTATGACAGTATTAGGATATTTAAACGGTATTAGGATAATTCCACATCAAAAGCTACAAAACATTTATGAGTCTTTTTAATTTGAAGCCTTCCTAGACATTTTGGATTCATTTATATCAATTTTCTTTTCTTTAAACATCTTTTCTAACAATTAGAAATCTGCTTCAATACACAAACCAATGTTCTCACTAGTTTTTGTGTGCTTTATCTCCTAACTTGCCAGTCTCTTTATCCTAATGAGGTTTTACTTGATTTGGTAAAAGTTAAAGAATCCAAAACCTCTGATAGACATGAAGCACATTATCGCTATGTCTAAAAGTAACTGCAAAGTCACATAAAGGTTTAAATAAACCTTTTTATTTAAACAGAATTTAGAACATACTGGCATGTTCTTATGTTGACAAAATCAACATAAGAACATGTGGTGATGCAATTGGTGAACATGTGGTGATGCAATTAAAAAGGAACAGTCGAATTCAAACTAAAAGTGCGGACTAGTATTCAAAGACTACATAATTTAATTTTAATCTAAGCTGACTCAGTAACTCTATTGTTGTAACAAATTAAAATATCAGCAGTAACAACGCAAAGAGGAATAATTACAAATTATCAGAGCTGGCAGGAACTAAAGCAACAACCCAGAGGAGAGCAAAAACACTCTGTTTTACAATTCAAAAACCTCAGTTTAAAAACTATCTAATTTGTATTTTGGTGAGGAAAGGGAAACTTATTGTAAAGGCTAAAATTATAAACAACTGGTTAATCTACATAATAATAACTGTATATATCTTCAAAGAATAATTTTCTTCCTCTTTATGTATTCAGTTTCTTTCTTTAATATGGAATTATTTTAATTTTTGGAATTAAAAGATTTCTGTTATTCTAAAATACTGGATGCAATTATAATATAAAGAAAAAGTTGAACATTCAGAATAAATATGAAATGATATATGGTAAGGGCTTGTTTCAGAGCTGATGAGGCAGAATTTTTAGAATTTAGTGACACACCGAGCAACAAAATCTAGAATATAGCGAAACGTTTAGAAGTTAGAACAAGCACTGGGAGCAGGGTTTAGGATCCACAGAGATAGCATCATGTGGAAAAATGCCTAGTGCCAGCCCTGTGTATGATCCATTGAGAC